ATGTCAAATTTGCACCATAACCTGTCAAATTATGATACATATCTGGACGAGTTATGAAAAAATTTTCAATAATGGACCATAAACAGTTAACGTATGGTGTATAACCGTACAAGTTGTGGACAAAAACTCTGAATTAGGTCAATAACTTATCATAACCAGACAAGTTATGGACGAGAATTACATGTAAAAATATGCAAAATAACTTGAAACTTGTTTACTAAATAAAATTAAACACCAATATAATCTGTACCAAAACTAGAAATAAAACACGAATATGAAAACCAACAAGTTAATCCATATAATCATCCAAGTCACACTCAATGGCATCTGTTGGCCTCATAAAATTCATTTTTGGGGCATTTGGAGCCCTGTTATCATCACTTTCATATCCTAATTGCCGCTTCCGCAAGGCATGCTTGAACAACTCAACTGCTATCTTCTTGCGGAACAATGTTCCAGCCCTTTTTTCTCTCAAACAATCATCAGATCCGGCTTCCATTAATATCTCAGCCATCTTGAGCATAAAAATTATACAATCACCACTACAAAAAATAACCACAAAAAATCTAACAATTAGAAACAACAAATATAAATGTAAAAATGAATGAAGTAAAGGGAAAATAACAAAACATTTAAAGAGAAAAAAAACTAACCCATTCTCTTGTCTTGGACAATCGTCAAATATGATCTCAAAAGGTTCAAGACGATCAAATTGACTTATGAAATACTTTTTTGTATGAGAATCAAAGTAGCCAACAGATTCTAGCAAGTGGGGGAGAATGACTGCTAAAGATTGCACAGAAGCACAGACTTGCTTCTCTATCCTCTTTGAAAAAAGAGAATCATATAACCTAATACAATGATCTTTGAACTCTACATAACCTAAAATCCAATGCTGCCTACGCTCAAGAAAAATAGGTACAAGAAGAATGTCCACCTCACAAAAAGGCAAGCTACAAAATAAATAATCTCCTAACACATAATCTTAAAGAGCACTATGTGAAGAGAAATCAAAACGAGACCAATCAAAATCCTTTTGGTTTTTAGAGCACCATAAGCTACTAATTCTCATGAAAAAATGTGAGTCCAAAACCAAACACCTAATGTATGGCATGTTTTTGTAACACACCATCTTTTTCCGTAAATAATATGTGGCTACATCAACATGCTATCAAAATAAAAATAAAAAAATTATTAGATTTGTTACAAAAAAAAAATCATGTGTAAAATTTAAAAAGAGAAAAAAAGGAAGAATCTTACCGAGTCAGTTAGCCAACACTTTGATGTCCATAAAGTTTGAAACCAATGTTTTGAATCAATGGTGTCAACTTTAAAATCAAAAGGAGGCTTTATCATATATGCATCGCTGGCCGGTCCCCATGCTTTTCTTGAGATCATATTACTCTTATACCATGATAGGAATCTTGCCTTGTCCTCCTCTGATGCATCACTGTCAACAATTTTAGAGAATGGACAAAAAAATAAAAATCATTCATCTATACATTTAATAGGTTCTTGTGATGCTGTTGTCTCATCATACAAAATAATCCTTTGATCAGTACATTTATCGCCTTCCTGGGCAGCATCATGAACAAGATCCCTCAAAACTGAAGCAATTGTTTCTTTAATTTTTTCAGAAGAAAGATCCACTTTGTCATCTTCTTTCTCTGCAACTGCTTCTTCAATTACTTCTTCCTTTATTTCTTCAACTTCTTCTTCTTCCTTTTTTTCTTCAAATGCTTGTTCTTCCTCCGCTTGCTTGTTCTTCTTAGAAGAAAAAGCATTGTCAAACTTTTCACCAAGCAACTGAACCACAGAAAAAATTTGTTCTTTGAAATCTCTTCAAAGGGAAGAAACTTCAACAACCAAACTATCAGTTTTTGCCTCCAAGGAAGCAATACGCGCCAAAACTTCAGAATTATCAAAATCACCCTAAAAAATGCAAAAGATAACAAAACGAAAAAAGTCAAATCATAATGACAAACACAACACATCAAGTTATGGAACATAACCAATCAAGTTATGTGAAAAACCTGTCAAGTTATGGACAAAAACTATAAATTATGGACAATAACTCGTCAAGTTATGGTTCATAACCAGATAAGTTATGGACAATAACTGTGAATTATGGACAAAAAACTCTGAATTATGGACAATAACTCGTCAAGTTATGGTTCATAACCAGATAAGTTATGGACAATAACTGTGAATTATGGACAATAACTTGTCAAGTTATGGTTCATAACCAGACAAATTATGGACAATAATTGTGAATTATGGACAAAAACTCTGAATTAGGATAATAACTTGTCAAGTTATGTTTCATAACCAGACAAGTTAATGGACCATAACCTGACACGTTATGGAGGATAACATGTCAAAACAAACCTGATTTTCACATAACTTGATTTTCAGAAAACAACCTTACAGTTCCAATTGTAAATTGAAAAATGAACAAAAACAAAACTAAACAAACCTGATTTTTTAGAGTAGGGATAAATGGATGAGGAGGGACAGTTTCAAAATCTTTGTCATCCTCTTCAAATCACAGCCACTAGAAGCCGGAACATCCTTTACCGACTTCTGAAAAAAATCGTCAAGATAATTGTAGAGACGCTCTGATTCAATTGGTTCCATTGAAAAACAAGAGAACTGAAAATAAAAAATAAAAACATGAAAACATAAAATAAGCAAAAGATATTAATAAAAACATTAAAACATGAAAATTTACTATAAAAAAACTACCAAGACAGAAGTCTAACCTGGCCATTTTTGTTGTTCAACACATCAAATGCCTTCTTCGAATAATTTTCGTCCGTTGACCATTTAAAAATTCACGGAATAGGCTCATCAATATACTTTTTCAATGCACAAATACCACCAAGGTGTGGTAGACATTCATAAGCCCAAACTTGAAAAACAATGGCCAAACCGTTGATCTTATATCCATCTACGCGTCTCTTCTCATTTCGAATTAGAACCTTATTATCGTGCCTGTACAAAGTCCCAATACCAGATTTCAAACTTGCAAAAAGTAAATTAAAAGACAATCTATCCCAAAGAACATCGTTAAAGTTAGGGCTATCAACAATTCTAATCAAATCATCATTAACCCCCACGTCCTTGGGCTTAGCTAAAAGAAAAAGTGACACAAAATATAACAAACCCATTTTGACAGCTTCATCATCACTATTAAAATGAACAGACTCAAAACAATTCTTAATAGTAGCCCTCTTTACAAGCCCTGTACAATGATCCTTGAAATATTTGTTACGTCTAGAAAAATCAGATGAATTTACATAACTTGAGAAGTTTACATGTCCTGTGCACTTTAAACCAGAAATTAATGCAAACTCCTCAACAGAAAACTTAGTAAAAGAATCACAAAACTTGAACCATAGCTCATTTGAATTTGGATTATGAACCACATGAAACAATAACTCATGTATAAGCTGAAACTGGTTACTGTACTTTACCAAATCTAAAAACCGACCAAAAATTATTCTTCTGAACAAATCTTTCTGACTTTCAGAAAACTTTTTGTTTAATTCCTCTATAACAGCAAAAAAGGATGATATATTAACCTGGCCTCGAAATCTCTTGTCAGGATTAATACGATAGTTCCAAGATTGTAAAAATGAAAAAAAAACCGAAGAAAAACAATATGAGGATAAACTTAAAAATACACAATCAAAACACAAAAAAAAAAAAAACCATATTCCATATCCTAAATTCAAAAATCTATAAACTAAGTTGAAAAAATAAATCAAAATACCTCCAAAGTGTTACGAGTAGGAGAAAGAAGAGCAACTTCTTCAGAACTTTTTTTCTCCAGAACAATTTTCTTATTCACAACATTCGAGTGTTTACTCGGAGTAGAAACAGAAACATTGTTCTTCCTCTTGCTTTGTGTTTTCACCATATCTTAAACAATAATATATAGAATCACAAGATCAGAGAAAGAAAAAAAAGGGAAAGGAACGTGAAAAAAAAGTCATACAAAAAAAATACTGTCAGAAAATGCACACTATCAGGGATGATAGAGAGAGTTGCAGAGCGAGGAGAAAAAAATCACAGTAGACGGACGAAGGGAAGAAAGACAGATCGCTGAAGATGAAGGGAAACAAAAACCTAAAAAATCGCAGGAGATCGCCAGTGGAAAGAAAGAAATCTTGGAAAGAAAAAATTGTCTTAGAGAGAGAAAACATAGAGCACAAGTTATACAAAAACTGAGTAAAAAAATCTGGGATACGGTTTTTAAAATATAACCGAATAAAAAATCTGTAAATTATGGACCATAACCTGTCAAGTTATGGTCCATAACAGCACAAGTTATGGTACATAACAACAGAAGTTATAGTCCATAACTTGACAAGTTATGGTCCATAACTTGACAAGTTATGCACAAAAACTGAGTAAAAAAATATGGGATACGGTTTTTAAAATATAACCGAATTAAAAATCTGTAAATTATGGACCATAACTTGTCAAGTTTTGCTCCATAACAGCACAAGTTATGGTACATAACTTGACAAGTTATGCACAAAAACCGAGTAAAAAATAGGGATAGGGTTTTAAAATATAACCAAATAAAAAATCTGTAAATTATGGACCATAACCTGTCAAGTTATGGTCCATAACAGCACAAGTTATGGTACATAACTTGACAAGTTATGCACAAAAACTGAGTAAAAAAATATGGGATACGGTTTTTAAAATATAACCGAATAAAAAATCTGTAAATTATGGACCATAACTTGTCAAGTTTTGCTCCATAACAGCACAAGTTATGGTACATAACAACCGAAGTTATGGTCCATAACTTGACAAGTTATGGACAAAAACCTATCAAATTAGACCATAATCCATAAATCACAGTTTTTTTTAACTATTAAATGCAAGGATTTCTTTTATTATTAGAAAATTTTGAATATTTTTCCTTCAAATCATTCAATTCTAACTTAGAGCATAATGACAAAAATCAACTTAGAACATGATGATCAGTTCATATCAACAAATGTGGGGTTTGAACAAGTCCTCCTATTGTGGACAACTTTCTTGCATCGACTACACTTCATAGATTGCTTCTCTCGTTCTCCACTAGAAATAATTCTTTGCTTCCTTGGCCTCTCAACACCACGTTTAAACTCAGGAGGAAGAACAACCTCCACCTCACTGCCCTATGAAAGTTGCCACTTTGATCTATTAGTAATATGATAGATTACAGCATCATATGTTGCTTTGAATGCATTGTTGGTGTAATAGTAGGAAGTAAAATGTGCTGGATCAAGATTTCTTTTCCAAATCGATGCAATAGCGTGTGGACATGGAAATTCATCAGCTTGCCAAACAAGACAACTACATGTTCTTGCCACCAAGTCAACCACCTCACCAACTAAACCATCAACAACATAATACTTATTGATATATATGGGTTGAACCTGAAAACATGACAAAAAGAAAAGAAAACAGAGCATTCAAAAAATAATAGAATAACTTCAAAAAAAAAAAAGACCAAAAGAATCACAAAAAAGATCACATTAAAAACATAACCAAAAAAATGAAAAAAAAAGGAAAACACAAAAATAAAGTAAATACTTGAAAGAAAAGTAACTTACCGATAAGCAACATGCAATCTTTTTCCTATCACGAAGGCATTTAGTTGCATGTTTAGTCAAGTATGTAAAAGTCTGATCCGCCTTATTTCGACGCTCATAAAACCATATTTGCAAGAGGGATCTGAAATGCTCAATTAAAACTTCAATAGGATACTCCCTAGCATTCACTAAGACATTATTCAACGACTCGGAGATATTAGTCGTCATGACATCATATCTCTTCCTCTCAAAGTGAGCACGTGCCCACTTTTCAACCCCTACTTGCAGCAAATAATTTTGAATAGCTGGTCGCACTGCCTCCAATTGACGCATGAAGTAACCAAAGTCTTCCTTACGGTATGCCTTAGCACAACGATAGAATATAGCATCCACATGCACACCTTTAAAATTTGAATTTAAATTTCTAAGTAAATGCTACATACAAAATCCATGAGATGCATCCAGAAATACCTTCTCAACTGCTTTAGGGATACTACTCTTTCGGTTAGAAAGAATAACAAGTTCTTCACGAGTTTCGATGGCCTCCTTAAGCCTTTCAAAAAACTATTCCCACCAGGAGTCATTCTCTGAATCAACCATTGCAAAACTAAGCGGAAAAATATGATTATCAGCATCTAAAACTGCAGAGAGAAGCAAGGTCCCCGAAAACTCATTCTTAAAAAAAGTGCCATCAACTGAGATCACAGGCCTACAATGGCACCAACCATGAATAGAAGCCCCCAAGCACAAAAAAAAAATACTTGAACCGCCCATCATTGTCAAGCTCATAAGAAGTCACAGATCCTACAAAGAAAAAACAAAAAAAAACATTTAAAATAACTATTAGTCACAGATCCTACCAGACAAGTTATGCAAAAAAAAAAAAAACACTGTCAATTATGATTCATAACCTGTCAAGTTATGCTCCATAACCGGACAAATTATAACAAAAAATCTATCAACTTATCTGATAACATAAGTTATGGACTATAACCTGTCAAGTTATGGGAATAACCTGACAAATGATACCATAACCTGGATTTTTCTCCTTCAAAACATTAAGATAAACAAAAGCATAAGCATAACACATAAAAATAAAACCGGTTATGCTCCATAACCGGACAAATTATAACAAAAAACCTGTCAACTTATCTGATAACATAAGTTATGGAATATAAACTGTCAAGTTATGGGAATAACCTGACAAATTATACCATAACTTGGATTTTTCTCCTTCAAAACATTAAGATAAACAAAACCATAAGCATAACACATAAAAATAAAAATCACCTGGATTTTTTTCCTTGAAAACATTGCACAGAAAATGAATGGATGAATACGACTCCACTGCACTTCTTCTCATTGATGCTAACGCATATCGGCGAGCCATTCGCGCTTTGTAGTAACTAATCTCAACACCATGCTTACCATGCATTATAGACCTCTAATCATTAGGACGCAAACGGTCTGTAAGCCCAATGCTAAAATCGCCCTTTAAAAACTTCGAAACAACACGACTATTTGCTTGACGATGCTCAGCACTAGGAACATCAAGTGAACAAGTATGTTCCTTAATATACTTCTTCACTGCCCAAACATTATCATTTGAAACCTTAGCAGCACGCATCTTCCAAGTACAACTCTTATTTTTACAAACCAAAACATAAAATGAATTATTAGATCTTTTAGATTTAAATTCAAAATGCCTCATAATAGCAATTACATGCATGAATTTCTTAAGACCCGACTTGCTCATGAATTGATTGCCTACATTCACATCAAACGACCTAGGTAACTTTGAAATATCCAAATCTTCAATCAAAATATTATTCATCGCAACATCAATATCATCTTCAAATTGACAAATGGAACCATCAACATTAGAAGATGACGCCTCATCTCTTGAACTCATAAAATAAGATGAAGAAGAAATAGATCCCACTGCACTAACGGAGCTACTAACAAAATCTATTACCAACGGGTATCCAAGAGCTTCCTTGCTGTGTCAAACTAAGTTTAAAAACAATTTAACATCATCATCCCTCTTTAGGTCATAAACAATTTCAATTGGGTCCTTCAACTTCCTTCCCACAAAAAGTAATAAAGAATGAACACCAGCATTAAAACCAAACAACTCAAGATTCAGCTCCTCACATAAACACTCCTATAAAAACTTCAAAGAAGCATCCTCTGGAATAAATACTGATTGAAAATTAAAATTTGTATATTGGTTTTCTAGGCTCCATTTTCCCCTATAAGCAACAATGACTGAAACAAAATGCATGCCTACAAACATATTGCAGGAACACTGTCATGTTAAAGTGCATAACCGGATAAGTTATATAAAAAAAACCTCTCAATTATGGACCATAACTCGTCAAGTTATGTTCCATAACCGGACAAGTTATAACAAAAACTGTCATGACTGAAACAGACTGAAAAAATGCAAAACGTGAAAATGAAATTACAACAAAAAAAAAGAAAAACTAGAAACGAAAAATGCCCAAACATGTTGTTCCGTAAAAATCGACTAGAAAACAGCAAAAAATAAAGGATTAACGGACAAAGAAAGAAAGCAAACCGAAATAATGCAAAATATGAAAACGAAAATACAACAAAAATAAAACTAGAAACCTGGTAAATCACCGAAACAGCTACTCAAATCCAAACGAGAACAAGAACTACCGACCGACGAACCCGTTGATCCACCGACGATTCACCGACGAGCAAATGGAAAACTGATGATTCACCGATGAGAGAGAAAATCCGAGCGCAGTTACGAGAGAGAGAGAGCTGCGAGAAGCTAGAGAGAGATATATATCTGCGACAGAGAGAGAAAGACAGAGACGATCGAAAGAAACAAAGGAAAAAAAAGAAAGGGTAAATTTGGAAATTTAAAAATTATAGCCTATTAATTTTTATAACTAAAAATTGGCCTATATACTTTCTTAAGATTTTTAAATTGGCCTATTCTCTACTATTTCTCCTATTTTTTGTATTACTTATTTTAAATTAGATAATCCCTTTAAACTTACAAGTTTCGGAATTTACTTAATCAAATAAAATATCAAAAGTGCATAATATAGATTACAAACAATTTCTAATTACTTTTAACTTAACATAGTCGAACATGTGCTAATAACACCATCAAACATATAATATATAACATAGTCATTTAAATCCCTTCTTCTAAACCATACTTAATTAGGTGTAGAATCTAATTATATGAAAACATAACTTCAGAATTTAAACTCAAAATAACTTTGCAGAATTCTTCGCATGGCGGTACCCGGACCCAAACCTCCGCCATACATGCCCTCTGCCAAGTCCATCACAGAGCTATAGGTTGTTTACCTCTAGCATGAATATTAGTGAGCCGAAACTTAACAAGTACAAATGTCCTCACAAAAACACGCGTGTACAAATGCATGATCGTTTATGCTAGATTATGGAATATCCAGTTATTTCTATTGGGCCTTGTGCATGTACCAACTGCACATGGCCATGAGGAGTCGGGAGAGCGACCCAAACATTTAGTTCGACTATCTCAAGGTCATAATTATTTATTTTGTCAACCTCCTATTGCTAAGAGTCGGAGGAATTTTAATCTCCCATCCCTCAAGGCTACTAAGGGTCGGAGGAATTTTAACCTCCAATCTCCCAAGATCGGAGGGTGGTACGACACTTAACTTATCTTTTCGTTACCTGAACCTTTTACTTAGGTGAACACGCGATTATGATCATGTCACAAAGTAATCATTATAATATACTTTAACAAGAGGCGATTAATATTCAAATCATATTCTTTATCTATGTCACAAAAGTATGATTTTGTAAAATATTAGGACATACATTTCATCATGCTCATCAATCACTTCACAAAGAATATAAGCAGTGTAAACAAGCATGCAATTTTTCAAACATAACATTTTAAAATAATTTATGTTGTATATGAGGTTTGTACTCACCTGGGTGCTTGCACTTAGCAATTATCCACAACAAACTTCCCTCATAACACAGTGATTCTGTATTTAATTTAATACCGACAATCGACCGTCAGCTCATTTCAACTTGATTTATTAAGCCTTACGAATTTAGTCTCGTTGGCATCCTTAGAATTAATTATTCTTAATTGCATTTTTTAAGTAAATTAACTAATTAGATTTACTAATTAGTTAGCTAATATTTCTTGATCTTTCCTAACTAATTTGGGTTAATTATTCTCCTGTTAACTTTCTCTTTTATATTTGGATTAACTAATAAATTTTATTTGATTAACTAGTCAATTTTTGTTAGGGTTTCATTGATTTACTTGGGTCTCATTGCCCCTTTACTAAATAATTATCCGTGTTTTGTCTTTAATTAATTAGTTTACTTATTAATTAATTAATTAATTTTTTAGATTCGTCACGTTAATTAGATTCATCATATTAAGTGAGTAAAATAGACTGTTGGTTAATGAAAGGCAAAAAATTAGTATAAATTAGAAATATACTCTAAAATATAATATTATATTATTTTTTTTAGCATGTTAAGTATAAAAATGAAAAATGCCTTTTATTGTAGTGTATGCTTATCGATCTAATTAAAATCACATTAAAATAAAAAAGTATGCATAACTGTTGGTTTCTGAATCGAATTCGGATGCGGAAGCATGGGGATAACGGATCAAGTATAACAAAAATTTTCATAAAACCTTTGAGATACTCTATAGATTATATTCATTTATGCATGAATAAATTAATCACATTAATTTATTTATTAAGAACTCAGTTAGGAATAATACCTGGCGGCCGATTAGGATGATAACTTGAGTTCTTTGACATCGAACAATCCTTGCTCCAAAGGTTTATGTTTACAAAACTAATGTCTTCCACGTCAATTCCTAGAATCTATGAAAACGTGTGTGTGGGCACACCTGAGACAAAACGGGTTAGAATAAACACTTGAATTTCCACAAATACCAACGCATGCACGATGTGAAATTTTTGGAGAAAAAATATTTTTCCTCACTCTATAGAGAATTTCGGCCACCACTTTAAAAATAGGTCAAAAATTGTCTTCAAAAATTGTCTCACAATTTTCTATCATTCTCTTATTTATAGAGTAGAAGTTAAACTTCTAGAAGGAATCAAAACTCTATCTTTAAGATAAAACTTGTTAATTATCTCCTATTTGAATTTGAAACAAAATCTTATATTCCCTATCCTTAATGTGGCCGGCCATGGATGGGGATTTTATCCCTATGTAGGCGCCAATATCAGATAGGGAAGGAAGAGAAAATCATCTTTTATCATGTAGTCCAATTTTGATTCAAATTCAAATTCAAATTTAAGTCAAACTTAAATTAATTTGAATTCTAAATTGAACAACTTATCTCCCGAGCTCCAATAAAATTAATAATTAATTAAACACTTTAATTAATTAATTAATTCTATTAATTTCAATAGTTACTCCACTATAAACTTGGAATTGACCTCTCGAAATTATAGACATTAATTACTTCTAAACTGTGAAGTGTCCATTTGATATAGTCATTACATATAGATCAATCCTCCATAAATAATTCATAAGTAGAGTCAGGTAGAATCCGTTAACCTCTCTAATTATATCTTCATCCTTGAGTACCATTGATTCTCTAATGGATAGTGATTCATAAAACACATTCATGAACTATAGCGCTCTTACTAATCCAAGTACTGAATCAACACTCAAGAGAATTATTTATCTGTTTCTTTCTCAAGAAGGAATGGATTCCATCTCGTATAATAACATTCCCGGCTACCTATTTCATCATGTCTCCAAAATACAAGGAATGGGATTCAGGGTCTCAGAATCCGTACAGAGTAAATCAAAAGACACAAATCCATAAATAGAAGTTTGTTAAGAACTCAGGATTAAGATCATTCTATATATGACTATCGGTGGACTCAATTAGAATTTCTATACTTAACATAAATTATTAGAAATTCATATTGTGTCTGTGTCCCTGTTCCACATAATCTCATTATGCGTAATACACTCATTCAATCTCTCGATATATTAACAGTGCGGATAACACCGTTCCATTATAAATGGGAATGACATGTATTAATAATGTTTTAATTAAAGATTCTAAACTTTAATTAAATTCATTACGAACATCTCTTTTTGATTATTATCCTTAAATATTATCCTCTAATATATAACACTTATATACAATGTTTAGGGTCACATAAATAATCATAAAATTTTCATTAATATCCATAAAATATTCACAAATATATACACATAAAATGATGAATAAACTCTTTTATTAAATAAATAATAAATATTCTATCACATCTCATATTTTTAGAACATAATTTCTAACAATAACAACTAATTTTTTTTATACCAATATGATGTTTTAATACAGAGTCTTATCAACAGTTTTTTTTTCACATTGTATTTGGTAGTTCTTGAAAACAACAATCTTTTTGTATTCTTTTGTGTTTGGTAAGTTTCATTTTTTTGTATACTCTTTTATATATAAAAAAAAAAGTTCTGCATCACGGCCCCACTAATATTGAAGGCAACTCTCCCGCCGCCGCAGTCTTCATACGTTATAAGTAACTAATGCTTATTATGTAACATTGTAGGACATCCAACTTCAAATTCATTGCTATAGACGACGTATAGTCAATATCAGTACTTGCCACTCTTTTGTTTGAAATGTTCTTTTATTTAAAAATTATTTTATATTTTTTCAATTATTTTACACTAAATTAAAAAATCATTTTTATTTTTATTTTTATTTTTATTATACCAAATGTTATTTTAAAAACGTTTTTATTTTTTTTTAAATGTAAAAAATAAAAACGAGATCAATTATAAACACGGCTTTCATTTTTTGTTTTTCTTTTTGTTTTTCTTTTTTCTTTCCATAGTATAATTGTCCTATGAACAACTTGATGGGGGTCTTGTTGACTTTGATTCACTCGATGGAAGGATGGGCGTGGAATTAGGGCAACCGCGGCATCGGTTGGGCTTGGGCTACCCGTGACTTCTGCTGCGTTACATGTCTCAAATTTCATTCAAAGTCTTTATTTGCTTTTTATTTCCGTTTCATTTGTTGATCAAAACAACACTAAATATCTTCTCAAAAAAAAAAAAAAAAAAAAAAAAAAAATCAAAAAAAAAAAAAAAAAACTAAAAAGAATAATTATACGTCAATCCACCCACTAGAGGAATTCATATGAGAATGAGAAGTCCTATTCCATAAATGCAAGTGCGTTTTTTTTTTGGATATTAAAAATACAAGTGCACTTAATTGAAGATAAATTTAGACCTATTAAAAAAAAGATAAATTTAAGCCTCGTTCAGTTTGTAGATTTGAGTTTTCAATTCGAGCTGAGATGTGACATTTTTTGAAAATTTTTTATTATAATAAAAAAAGTAAAATGTTACATTTTTTGAAAATTTTTTACTGTAAAAACTTAAAATTAAAAATTAAAATCGGTAAAATGAACGGGACTTTAACCGTATCATACAAATTGTGATGGTCATGGATAGGATAAGCATTGCATGCTTGACAAGACTTTTTCCACCTCTTTATGACGTCGAGTAGTAAAAGCATTGAGGAACTATGTACGATTAGAGGTCTATTTGGGCTATCCTAATATGCTAGTCATGTTATATTGGTAAAGCTTTCTATGGCGTTATTGTCACTCGTGAAACGATGGTGAGTGGTCCTAAGTTCGAATTTGGACTTGGACCTAGTAAAAACTTGTGTGTGTGTGCGAGAGTGTGGGGTATAGGCCAAAAGGGACAATCAAGAAAAAAAAAAAAAATTCAATTAGGAGCCCTATTTGTCTTGGGATTTATTTTCATCAAACACAAAAGCAGATGTCTACGTGAGTCATCATGTGAGACCCACTTCTTTATGTTCCCTATCCGAATAAAAAGAATTTTCCATCTTCTATATATTATTTTTAGATCTTAAATGTTCCTATAGATGGTGAATCAATCTGGTTTGGACATGATAAAATATTTTTTTAATTTTTAGAATTTTATATTTTTGATACTTTTTTCTTTATGAATTAGCTTTTTTAATTAATTGAAAGGGTAGATTTGACATATCATATCTTAAAAATAAGGATTAGAATTTCTAAATGTTGTCTTCTCACCTCGTTTAATTCGTCGATTCGAGTTTTCAATTCGAGTTGAGATATGACTTTATGTGAGAATTTTTAACTGAGTAGAAAAAATTAAATGTAACTTTTTCTTAGAGTTTTCAAGTGTAATAAAATTGAAAGTGAAAACTTAAATCGGTGAATAGAATGAAACTCACAATTACCTTATTTATTAAATATTATTAAATACACATAATATCTATAAGATATTTTGAGACGTATTGAAATGATTTTATTCTTAAAAAAAATATTGATTTTTTTTAAATGTAAAAAATAAAAATGAGATCAATTATAAACACGGCTTTCATTTTTTGTTTTTTTTTTTGTTTTTCTTTTTTCTTTCCATAGTATAATTGTCCTATGAACAACTTGATGGGGGTCTTGTTGACTTTGATTCACTCGATGGAAGGATGGGCGTGGAATTAGGGCAACCGCGGCATCGGTTGGGCTTGGGCTACCCGTGACTTCTGCTGCGTTACATGTCTCAAATTTCATTCAAAGTCTTTATTTGCTTTTTATTTCCGTTTCATTTGTTGATCAAAACAACACTAAATATCTTCTCAAAAAAAAAAAAAAAAAACTAAAAAAAATAATTATACGTCAATCCACCCACTAGAGGAATTCATATGAGAATGAGAAGTCCTATTCCATAAATACAAGTGCGTTTTTTTTTTTGGATATTAAAAATACAAGTGCACTTAATTGAAGATAAATTTAGACCTATTAAAAAAAGATAAATTTAAGCCTCGTTCAGTTTGTAGATTTGAGTTTTTAATTCAAGTTGAGATGTGACATTTTTTAAAAAATTTTTATTATAATAAAAAAAGTAAAATGTTACATTTTTTGAGAATTTTTTACTGTAAAAACTTAAAATTAAAAATTAAAATCGGTAAAATCAACGAGACTTTAACCATATCATACAAATTGTGATGGTCATGGATAGGATAAGCATTGCATGCTTGACAAGACTTTTTCCACCTCTTTATGACGTCGAGTAGTAAAAGCATTGAGGAACTATGTACGATTAGAGGTCTATTTGGGCTATCCTAATATGCTAGTCATGTTATATTGGTAAAGCTTTCTATGGCGTTATTGTCACTCGTGAAACGATGGTGAGTGGTCCTAAGTTCGAATTTGGACTTGGACCTAGTAAAAACTTGTGTGTGTGTGAGAGAGTGTGGGGTATAGGCCAAAAGGGACAATCAAGAAAAAAAAAAAATTCAATTAGGAGCCCTATTTGTCTTGGGATTTATTTTCATCAAACACAAAAGCAGATGTCTACGTGAGTCATCATGTGAGACCCACTTCTTTATGTTCTCTATCCGAATAAAAAGAATTTTCCATCTTCTATATATTATTTTTAGATCTTAAATGTTCCTATAGATGGTGAATCAATCTGGTTTGGACATGATAAAATATTTTTTTAATTTTTAGAATTTTATATTTTTGATACTTTTTTCTTTATGAATTAGCTTTTTTAATTAATTGAAAGGGTAGATTTGACATATCATATCTTAAAAATAAGGATTAGAATTTCTAAATGTTGTCTTCTCACCTCGTTTAATTCGTCGATTCGAGTTTTTAATTCGAGTTTAGATATGACTTTATGTGAGAATTTTTAACTGAGCAGAAAAAATTAAATGTAACTTTTTCTTAAAGTTTTCAAGTGTAATAAAATTGAAAGTGAAAACTTAAATCGGTGAATAGAATGAAACTCACAATTACGTTATTTATTAAATATTATTAAATACACATAATATCTATAAGATATTTTGAGACGTATTGAAATGATTTTATTCTTAAAAAAAATATTGAATTAAAAAAATCACAAACTGAGCAAAACAAATCACAAGCGTATCTCTGTTGTAGACAACATTAACCCTATCATATTAACTTCCAAGAAAAACATCTTAGCACACCTTACAAAAAAAAAAAAAAAAAAAAAAAAAAGAAGGAGAAAAGTGGAGCTACAGTAATGGTCGTAATAAGTTGTCAGTCTAAAAAATAACAAAAAACAAAAGAAAACCAGTAAAGCCATCTCATTCATACTCAAGTCAATGGACTTTTTGAAGTCAACTTAAACGAAGTCATTTCAAACCCCTATTAGCCACCATAAAAATTACCTCAATAATTCTTCCCACAAACATCATACCCGCCATTATTCTCAAACCAAAAAAACCTCCACAACCATGAATCTCTTCCCCACCATCATTACTCTCCTCTCCTTCCTCCTCTTCTCCTTCCTCGTCACAGCACAGCAACAGCAAAACTCTTCCTTCTCCTTCCCATGGTACCAGACACAGAACCGAACTCTCCTCTCCCCCAACTCCGTCTTCGCCGCCGGATTCTCCCCCATCTCCGGCTCCTCAAACCTCTTCAGATTCTCAATTTGGTACCGGAACGTCACCGGACGAGCCGTTGTCTGGTCGGCTAGCAAAACCCCGGTGGACCGCTCCGGCGCCGTCACGTTAACTTCCGCAGGAGAAATCCGCCTCGGAAACTCCACAGGACGAAACATCTGGCTGGGGAAAACCTCCGCCAATTCCAACACGACGAGATTGATCCTCCGGAACGACGGGAACCTGGTGTTTGGCGGCTGGGAAAGTTTCAAATTCCCGACCGACACGATCCTCGCAAACCAGACCATAACGGGAACGAAAATCGTCTCCGAGAACGGGAAATTCAGCTTTAAAAACGCGACTGATCTGTACTTCAACAGCTCGGACCGTTACTGGTCAGCGGCCGGCGGTAACGAGTTTGTGGAGATGGATTTCGCCGGAAAAGTGGAACAGGGAAACGGAGCTTCCTTGGTCACCTCCGACTACGGAATCGAAAATCGGCAAAGGAGGTTGACTCTCGACGACGACGGGAATCTCAGGATCTACGGATTCGATCCCCATCTGAATGAGTGGACCGTCGTATGGCACGCCACGCACGAGCTCTGCACCATCCACGGCTCCTGCGGGCCCTACGCGATTTGCACCAGCGACGGCTCCAACTCCTCGTCGTGCGTCTGCCCACCGGGATACGATCAAACCTCCGGCGACGCCAAGGAGTTAGGCTGCGAAATCAAAATTCCGATCAGAGATTTCCGCACTTCGAGGTTTATACGCCTCGATTACGTGAATTACACGTCGCCGAGACATAGAACGCTGGACGGGAAGAATCTCAGCGACTGTGAGACCAATTGCACGGCGAATCGGGACTGTCTAGGGTTCATGTTCAAGTACGATGGAAAAGGATCGTGCTATCTCAATCTTGATCGGTTGTTGAACGGTTATTGGTCGCCGGGGACGGAGAGCGCCATGTTTCTGAGGGTCGACAGGTCGGAGCCGGCGAATACGACGTTTAAAGGGATGACGGAGATTCTAGAAACGACATGTCCGATCAGGATCGAGCTCCCTTTGCCGCCGGATGATTCGAATACGACGACGAGGAATATCGTGATAATATGTACTCTTTTCGCGGCGGAACTGATTTCCGGTGCTCTGTTTTTTTGGGCGTTCTTGAAGAAGTACATCAAGTATAGAGACATGGCGAGGACATTGGGACTCGAGCTTCTTCCCGCCGGCGGGCCGAAGAGATTCTCCTACACTGAGCTGAAGGCTGCCACCGGAGACTTCTCGCACCTCATCGGGAAAGGAGGTTTTGGCGACGTTTACAGAGGTGAGTTGGCCGACCACCGGGTCGTGGCGGTCAAGTGCTTGAAGAATGTTGCCGGCGGGGAGCCGGATTTTTGGGCGGAGGTCACCATTATTGCGAGGATGCACCACCTGAATTTGGTGCGTCTTTGGGGATTTTGTGCTGAGAAAGGTCACAGGATACTTGTCTATGAGTATGTCCCAAATGGATCACTTGATAAGTACATCTTTCCTCCTCATCGGATCGGGTCCGATCGGTATGAGGAGAAACCGGTTATCGATTGGAGCGTTCGTTACCGCATTGCTCTCGGCGTGGCAAGAGCAATTGCGTACTTACATGAGGAGTGCTTGGAGTGGGTTTTGCATTGTGATATCAAACCCGAGAATATACTGCTAGGGGATGATTTTTGCCCGAAAATATCAGATTTCGGGTTGTCCAAGCTTAGGAAGAAGGAGGATATGGTTAGCCTATCCAAGATCCGAGGAACTCGTGGGTACATGGCACCAGAGTGGGTCAAGTCTGACATGATCACCGCCAAAGCTGACGTGTATAGTTTTGGAATGGTGTTATTGGAGCTGGTGAGTGGGGTCCGCAACCATCAAATGCAAGGGTCAGTAATGGAGAGTGAGGATTGGTACTTCCCTGGTTGGGCGTTTGATAAGGTGTATAAAGAAGTTAATGTTGAAGATATTTTGGACCGTCAGATCAAACAATCATATGATAGTCGGGCCCATTTTGATATGGTTAACCGGATGGTGAAGACCGCCATGTGGTGCCTCCAAAGCCGGCCGGAGATGCGGCCATCGATGGGCAAGGTTGCTAAGATGTTGGAAGGAACGGTGGAGATAACAGAACCAAATAAACCCACCATATTTTTCCTTGGTGACGAGTAGGTTAACTTATCTACTTTACAATTAGAGTGTTTGCAAGTGTTACAATAAATTAGATATGTAAATTATTGTTCCCCCACAGATAATATATATATATATATATATATGTTATTCCCCCAACTGTTGTTTTACTTTTCTAAACAATACAATCCTAAAATGGGAATACTATGGCATATGTTTTGGGATCATAAAAAAAAATGATATCAGTTTAATAAATCTAGTGTGAAGTTCTTTTAATAAATCTTAAGTTGCAAGTGGGATGATCTGATGGCTGAAAATAATAATATTATAATAAAATTAAACAATTTTTATCTCAATCAATTTATAGTATCTTTATTTTTTATTAAATAATATTATAAAACACATATAGTGTTAAGCACCACCATCTAATAAAAGATCATCATTTAATAAAAGATGAGTGAGACCCACAAATGAGATTAACATTCTATTAGATAACAATATTTAGTACCGGTAATGTCTTTTAGTATTTTTCTTATTTCTAGTGGGGCCTAGTGAAGAAAGAGAGATGTGATTTGCTCTTCAATGCCTATTGGTGATGGTGAGAATTAATATAATTAAAACAATGTGTATAAAAAGATTTGAATTTATTCTAAGCGCGTGTTCATACTTGGAAGCTACCCCTACCCATTTTTGGGAATAGGGAGCGATATTTTGTTGACCAAACTGAGCAAACCAAGAACATTGATACAAACAATTATTGTTTTATGATATTGATTGAGATAAAAAATTGTTTAGTTTTCTTATAATATTATTATTTTCAGCCATCGGATCGTTCCCACTTGTTATGTAAGAGAATATTGATATGTTTATTCACGTATTTAAGTCCATGACTCTGATTCATTAATATTAATTTTGTGAGAGAATAAATTTTTAAATTTAAATTTTTTATAAGATAAAAAATACTTTAAAAGAACTTTAAATATATGAACTAAATGGGACCTATATATTTCAATACTCATGGTTTCTTTATTTTATTATTAACAAGAAATTGAAACTAACAGAAATCAAATTTTAAATCATATACTCACATGAATTAAACTACTTGAGACAAAAATGGGTGAAGAAAATATAACTTGTTATAATTTCGACTTGCAAAGTAATTGGTAACGAAGTCAAGGAATGCAATCGCTAGGTAGGTTACAAACGAAAGAATTACAAATCGTCATGTTTATTATAACTAAATAGAGTTGAACCAAAGAAAGTACATATGTTTAATCATGAATTTGAGTCGTCTGATCAAATGCAAATTAGATAATCTTGTGTCAAGTACAAATTCTATTTGATGTTTACGTCTTACTATTACTTTTATCTATCTGAGAATGTATTTTTTTTTAATGAAAAAAATTTTAAAAATCTTATCAGTGCTAAGCACTATCATTGTTAAAAATAAAAAATAAAAAAAAATAAAAATAAAAACCTTCACTTTAGATCCCCATATTGGAGGACTCATTTTTTATTTATTGGTGGTGCTAAGTATTAGTGCCCTTTAAAATTATTATTCTTCATTATGTTTATGATGGACGCATTTTGCAATATTTATTTTGCTGCTTTCACCATATTTACGAGAAAAGGTGCCACATCTGTCATCAGCACTGGGGACATTTTTGCATTGCCAGATTTTCTTTTGAACACTAGCCGCCGGTGAGAATATCTTTATTTTGGATAGAGCTGTAAATGTACTGCTCGGCCCATCTCAAACCGCCCAAAACATGAAATTGTGTCAGGCCGACCCTTTTTTAAGGTTTTAAAGGAAAGTGTCACAAGTTTTACATTTAGATTGACACTAGTGGAATTCCCACGCGTTGCTGCGGATGTTCATGTTGTATCATATAAAAAAGTTTATATTATTCTAAACATAGTTACAAAGATATGTATGTATGTAAAACGTCTATTAATATTACAAACATAGTTCTAAATATATACACATATAGTATAGTAGTTGGAAATATATTTATATGCACATATAGACATATATACACTGTAGTAGAGTAATACCTATCAGATCCAATGCCCTGTATTTTTTAACTGCAAGATTAAAATGTTAAGAGATCAAAAAAAGTCAATACAATATATAAGGAGATTGACAAAGCATTCATATAGATAATGCATAATAGAAGATGTTAAAAAAATTTTATTACCTTTTCTTTTGCCGTTTTGTAGAATGTTCTTTTGACTTTGATTCAGAGCTGAAATTAGAAATAATTATTTAGATGTAGATTTTGAAATGTTTAGAGTAATTTTTATAGTAAATATGTTTTACCTTGCGCCTGCTCTTTTGAGAATTGGAGTTTGTGGATTGATTGTCATTGGTGATGATATAAGTGATGGATTTGTTTGTTCATGGCTGAAATGATGACAAAAAAATTATTTTACAGATTTATTTATGATTATTAAAAATTGTATTTATATATTAAATATATATTGATAAGTTTAACTTACCTTTGTGTATAAGGAATTGATGTTGTTGGCATATTCTTTGGTGGTAGAGGAGATTGACTATCTTCAAATATTTTGGATGCAACAACTGATATTTGGTGGCCTCTTT